TACTACCCGTGCATAGGTATCAAAATAGTCAATAATATATTGTTGTGTAAATCCCTTAGCAACAAGTTTAGCCTTAAACTTATTTATAGTTCCATCGACTTTCATTTTCTTTTTGAAAATCCACTTGCAACCAATTGGTTTATAACTAGGAGGAAGATAAACTAAGATCCATGTATTGTTTCCCATGATGGAATCTATTTCGTAATTTATAGCTTCTTTCCAAAAAGCTACATCTTGAGACTTCATAGCCTCTTCAAATGTCTTAGGATTCGATTCTACATCGAAGTTATATTCAATGTGTTTATTGATTTCTTTTTTGTCATTTCAACTAAGTACATTTGAAAATCTAAGCCAAAAGTTTTAACATTCCTTATTTTTTTTATTTGTTCTATGTACAAGGCTATCTTTCTTACTTATGGAAATTTTTTTGTTATTTTTCTCTTGTGAGTTTTCTAGAGCATTGTCGTTAAAATTATATTGTAATTGAATCTATATTCATCACACATGGCATTTCTAGATTCAATCATTATATTAATAAGTATTGAATCATTATGTTCGATTACCATGAACTAATATGCCTTGATATTCTGTGCATATCCATGAATATACACTTGATTTCCTTTTCACTTAATTTTTTTTTTTTTAAGTTTAGGAACCCTTACAATAGCTTGACAACCCAACATCTTAAAATAATTTAGGTTAGGCTTTTTTTTTTTTTTTTTCCATAATTCATATGGGATTAACATGTTCCTTTTGTTAGGAACTCTATTTTGGATATGACACGTTGTTAATAATGCCTCACCCTAAAAACCTTGTCTTAAATTGAAATAGGACAACAAAGCATTAACCATTTTGGTTAAATACCTATTCTTTTTCTAGCCACACCATTTAATTGTGGACTATAAGGTGGTAAAACTTCATGAACAATTCCATTAAAAACAAAAAATGTTAGGATTAAAATATTCACCTCCCCTATTAGTTTTTAATGTTAAAATCTTAGAATTACAATGCAATTCTATTTTATTTTAATAAGTTAAAAACATATCAAATGCTTCATCTTTAGAATGTATCAAGTAAGTATAGCAAAATCTTGAGTAATCATTAATAAAAGTTATCAAAAGTACCTTTTCCCACCAATTGATGGAATACTATATAAATCACACACATCATTATGTACTGATTCTAGGATTTTGGGATTGTTTTCAACCTTATTAAAAGGCTACCTTAGTATTTTGGTTAACATGCATGCTTTATATTTTTCATCATTTCTTTTAATGCTAGGAATTAAACAAGATTTAGACATTACATTCATTCTATTATAATATAAATGTCCTAATCTATAATGCTAAAGATAAAAAGAATTAATCAAGTAGGCAAAAAAGTTATTATTATTATTATTATTAAAGAGAACATTAAGTTTGAACATGTCACAAAAGGTATAACCCTTTCTCACAAATATGCCACCTTTAAACAAGATAAACTTTATCTCTATCAAATACTAAATTGAAACTATGCTTGTTAAGCAAACTAACAAATACAAGATCTTTCCTAACTTCTTGAACATACAACACATTTGTATTGGTCAACATCTTACCAGATGTGAATTCCAAATCGATGGATTTTCTACCTTTGATTTTTGCAGTAGATGAATTTTCCATGTACAACACATGCTTTTTTTTTCTTAGAAAGTCTTGAACAATACTTTGTTGGTGCATACATGTTTAGTGATGCCAGAATCAATCCACCATGCCTTTTTATCTTCAATGACATTGATTTTAGAAATCATTGCAATAAAGTTTTCTTTAGTTATATTTGACGCTTCTTTCTTCCTTTTGATTGCAGAGCAATCTTTCTTGAAGTTCTTTACTTTCTAAAATAGAAGCACGCACCTTTCTTTTTTTTTTGAATTTTTTAACTTTTGGTGAAAATTCCTTTCTCTAAATGTATTATAGAGTAATCGAAAACATATAAATTATAGAGTAATTTAAATGTCTTAGATTTTAGAGTGATTTTAATAATTTTTTTTATTAATCTAAATTCAAATTTTTACTTTTGAAGTGATTTAAAAAAAAAAAAAAACACTCCATTGAAAATAAAAACTATTATTTTTTCTCAAATAATTTTTAAGATTAATGTTTGGTAAGTGAAAATTATGAAGTTAAATACCATTGGCAAATTATTTTTTAAAAAATTATAATTATAATTAAATATTTATCTATATAATTAAATAAATTAATTATTACATCATAATTAAATATAATCATTGAATAAATAATTAATAAATTTGAACATGAGACTTCAAAGTTTTAGAACCCCTTTATTGCCATTAAATCAATGCGAATTTGAATTCATTTGGAAGGGCAGCACAAGGAGAATTGACATTTTTTTGGTACAAGTGTACTGTGCTACATCGATTGGCAACAAACGTAGTGGTTTGATCGCACCAAACCTTTTTATTGCAGCTCTAATTCTCATTAGAGGGAAAGAGGTGCGGTGATTCACCGTACCTAGAATTAGACAATCATATTCCCATAAATTTATTTTTAATCCAAACTTTCCTTTATAATTATTGACCTTTATTTCACAAATATCCATCTAAAAAAATGTTAATGTTTTCTATTTAATCATTTTTTATACATTAATACTATAAAATAAAATAAAATTTTATAAAAAATAATTTATTAATATAATACATTTTAAAATTAATATCTTTAATTGTAAACATATTATTATTTTTAATAATTTTTTATATGATAGAAAACAATTATAATAAATTATAATTAATTATTAACTCATAAATATTAACAATATACTAAAGGTTTTATCATATATAAATTTTAATTTAACATGCTTAATAGTTATTTTTTTTCTTACCATACTTTACTTCATTGTCATAGTTATATTTACATTCAAATATATATATATCCTATAATTAATTTTAATTTCACTATTACAGTAATTAATTTCATTGTCACAATTATTTTTAATTTTATTAAAATTAATTTTACTCTGCACTGTGTCCTAAACATGCATTGCATGACTAAAAATCGGATAAAATTATATAGATGTTAGATAAAAAGTGCAAAAGAAGAAAATAAATATGATATAACATGATTTGTTTGTTTTTATTAATGTATTTTTTATTATCAAAAGAAAAATTATTTAATATACTGTCAGTAAAATTTTTTTAATTTCACAAGTAGAGTAATAGGGTGGCACATGTTTAATTTCTTTATTAAATTATTTTTTTTTATTTTTAAATATACATTAAGGATACGTGTCACTTTATTAATTTAAGTTAAAATGTTTCATTATTAATATATTTGATCATTTCTCTTATAAAAATGCTTTTTTTCTTTGAAAATTTGTGATCCAACAAAGTGTCTAAATTATTTAAAAATATATTAAAAAATTATTTAAAATAAAACAAATGTTTTTAAAGTTTGACTAAGTTACAAATGTTATTGTGAGTAATTTAGATTTTCGATTAAAACTGGAAAGTCTGAATTGTCTATGAATCCAATAAAGGTATTTATAAATTAAATTAGATTGGATCTAATACATTTAAAATTTGTTGAAGATTCGATTCGTTTTATCCATTAAAAACATATTATTATTTGAAATATCATTAAAATATAAAAATATTTTTATATTAATATTTAGTATTTAAAATATATTTACAAATTAAAATTAAATAAAATATTTTTTTAGGTCGAGATGGCTGAAGCTTGAAAATTTATATAAAAACTCAATCCAAGGGCACGAGAGAGTGCTTGACCGATGAACATGTTTAGAATTGAGTTCTACAAATTTTTAAAGTAAAGTTTGAAACCAATTTGATCATTTTATCAAAATATTTTTAAATTAATATTTTAAAAAATAAAATTAAATAAAAGCATTATTTGTAAATAAATTTAGGCATAAGAATAAAAGAACTCTTGAAATAAAATTAAATAATCATCCAAACCTTATCATTTTATTGTAATTAATTAAGTTCTTAAATATTTATTTTTATTGATTGAGTTTTTATTAAAATAAATTGATTCATTGTCAACATTTTATTTTCGTTTAATCGAGATTTAATTTAATGAAAATGGATTTTTAAAAGTTTAAATGACTGAAAAATAAATATTTATAGATTCAAAATTTTAATTGATTGTAATAAAATTATATAGATTTCGAAAGTACTTACATTTACCAAAATTTAAATTAAGCTCATACATTGAAGGTACGTTTGGTATTATTATATGTTTTATATTTTATATTTTATGTTTTTGAAAATTTTGTTTTGTTTTACTTTTAATTTATTGAATTTGGAAATATGTTTGGATAGAATGTTTTTATTTTAAAAATGTAAAAACAAAAAAATGTAAGAGAAAGTGATTAAAGTTTTTAAATTCTAATATAATAATATTAATATAATAGTATTTTTAATATATTATAATATTATTTATTAATATTTATAAATATTAATAAATAATATTATAATATGTTAAAAATATTATTATATTAATAAATAATATATATTATTTATTAATATAATAGTTATTAATATATTATTAATATAATATATTATATTAAGAACATATTATTTATTAATATATTAATAAATAATATAATATATTAATAACATATCATTAATTAATTTATTTATTTTATAATTTATTAATAACATATAATAATATTTATTTATTCATATATTATTTATTAATATAATATTTATATAAAAAAATTATTTTATTAATACAATAATTATAATGTCACTGTAAAAGTTTAATTGTAATTTATGTAAACAGTATCTAGGAGTAACGATATCAAATTGTTTCTAAAAAATTGAATCAATAATTTTTAAAATTTTATTTTTAGTTTTTAAAAACAAAAAATAAAAATAACTTACCAAACACATTTTTGTTTTCAATTTAAGAAAAAAAATTAAAAACCAAAACTGAAAATAGAAAATGAAAACAAAAACAAATGACCGATCGTGTGTATATATCCCACAAATGGGTTGGCCCAAATCTATGACCCAAATCCACCTTGGGCCTTGAATCACGCGCCGCCCACGTGCGATCTCGTCTTCTCTCTCAGAAGTCAGAACTCTGATTGTCGTGAAAAATCAAAAACTCACTTGAAGTCGCATTCTTCAGTTAGGAAACAAAATGAATATTGTAGTTTCTCTCCTTTTCTCCTTTTTTCTTCGCCACGCCGTCGCCAGAGGCGGCCAACGCTGCACTTCTCTCACTTCAGCTTCAGGTCCTCTCTCTCTTGCTTCAGTTTGCAAAGATCCTTAATTTTCTTTTCTTTTTGATCTATCTACACAAAGGAAATAAATTTACGTTGTTAAGAAAAAGAAGCGCATGATGTTTGACTTTTTACATGGTTTGACCAGATTTTATTGCAATTCGGCCTTTTATTTACTATTAAATGATTGATTTTGTTATTAGCTTTGTTTTAGATTTGATTTCATTGTCTCTGTCTCTGTCTCTGTCTCTGTCTCATTTAGGCTTTGAAAATGATAGTTATGCCGGTTCTGCAAGGCATTTATTTGTGGAAAACCAGTCTCACGCAAGGTGCTCTTTTTTATTTTTTAATAAAGGAATGAATTTTGCTTTAAATTTTTGTGGTTTGTGAATAATTTGAGGAATTTTTTATTTCAGAATCGATGTTGCTCGTGGCTACATGACTAATTCGGAACTGGAAAAGGCGGTGAAGGAATTTGGGCAAAGATGTAGTCACATTTCTACAATATATAGGTGATTATTTTTATTTATTTGCTCTGCCAATTTTCACTTTTAAGGGAATATGATGAAATTAACTAGGAATTTTTTATTAAAAAAGTTGATAGTTTTCTGGGATGAATCATGAATGTTGTATTTAGTGTTCCATGGAGGTTATGTACTGATTGATTCTTTTTTACTCCCTTTTGAGGGCATTTTGGATTTTGGAATCAGTATTGGAAAGAGTGTGAATGGTTTTCCACTGGTAATAATTTCGTTTCAATTTGCTTCTTATATCCTAAATTTTTTTGTTCCAGTGCTTTGAATTGTTTTTGTTTGTAAGCATTATCTCACGTCTATCTAAGTGAGCGTTTAATGATTCTTTTTGTGTAGTGGGTGATAGAGATTTCTGACAAACCAGGCAAGGAAGAACCTGAACCTGCATTCAAGGTAAATGATCTAGTACTCTGCTATTCATAAACACGAACGGATATGCACGTATTTAATTAGTGATTGCTAATTTATTTTCCTATTTTGAAGGTCATGGGATTTGGTGAAGATTTTTAAGTTTATGTGAAATGATTGTTTAACAAATGATTCTCTTTAAGTATCGATAGGAACCTAGAAATGGAACTGAAGAAATTAATAGAATCAAGATGGAGGAGGAAAACAAAATTTTGAAATGTTGAAACATTACCAGCTTGTATGAGGAGAAACAATAATAAATATATTTCTTGCTGTTATAAGATAAGTGATTTATAGGCAACCTGGTAGTATACCAACAGAAGATAGAAGAGAATGAAAGTATTAGCATCAATGGACAATAATTACAGTAAATCTTCTCAAGGACTATGTTGCCTTACATGTTTTGGGGGGACAAAATTGGAAACAGCAATTCTGGTACATAATTAGAAGTTGAATTACTTTTGAAAGAAAATTTCAATATTAACAGCTTAAAGAATGAACACTGTGAGTTAGAACTTTCTTTTCTCTCTTCCTGTTCTCTGATAAAAGCCTTTTTTCCCTTTCACCAACTTTCTCTTGTTCATTATTCTTAAAATATATGCTTTCCCTTCAAGTATACATGTCTGTTTATGGCAATTATTGAAAACATGAATTGGTTATGACGATTCATTTCTCATCCCATTAGCATGCTGATGTTCTTTGTGTTTTCTAAATGTGTCAGTTAGAGTTTGTTTCCCCTTCGATTGCATTGGCATGGGCCAAATTTTGGTATAAATATAGTTTTTTAACTGTTATTTAATAAACTATTATTCTTTTTTCCATGGGTTAACTGAAAGTCTGATTTGCTTGACATTGCAGTTTGTTGGTAATGTGCATGGTGATGAACCTGTTGGTCGAGAGCTTCTCCTAATTCTTGCGAATTGGATATGTGACAACTATATGAGGGATCCATTGGTATTTTTCTCTTCCTTTTAGTGCATGTAAGTGTATTTCTTCTTTTTCTTGCATGATGTTGTGAACAAGATTTATAAGCATTTTTCATTGTTGTTATCGCCTTCCTCAATTTACAAATGTTATTTTGATGCCACTGTTACCTGATTTTCTGTTGGTTAAATCTGCTCTTTGTTTAAATTTTTCTGGTTATTCATGCATGCATTACATTCATCTTTCACGATTGTGGAACTTGTGCTACTGTAATTTTATGACCTAAAATGTCTTATTAGAACTTATTTTCAATATTAAAAAATTGCCTAACCTATAATATTTGTTGATGGTACAGGTTAAATTGATTGTTGAAAATGTTCATCTTCACATACTTCCGTCAATGAATCCTGATGGGTTTTCTCTTAGGAGGCGTGGTAATGCAAATGGTATTGATTTAAATCGAGATTTTCCAGATCAGGTAACTCTTTTGCAATGCTGGTTTTAGTTAGAGGCGATTGATTCCAAGTTGAACCTTAAAAATCACAAGCAAATGGATATTGTAAGATTGTTATATGTCTAAAGTTGAAAGGTGCATTTTAGTTTTATATAACTTCATCAACAAGTTAAAGTTATAAAATCATTTTGCTCTTCTCAAATCAGGATTGATATTCTAAATTGTAGGATTTATCATAGTTTTCGTAAGATCATGCAGGAAGGTGGCATGTAGAAGAAATTAGGAAAGCTATGCAATGGTAAATACAATGCTTGAAATGCCTACCATTTAGTACCTCCCATTTTCTAGTCAACTTGACATAATCAATGAAATGTAAAATATGCTTTTAAGGATGCAATACAAATTGATCCATTTTGCTCCTTCTTATCTTTATATATGTTATATCATTTTTGCTTCAATATGAAAAACCATTGCGCATTCATATTTTATAGATGGTTTTAGCCTTGCTGAATTTCTGATATGTAGAATTTAATAAAAATTTTCAGATCAGGCATTTGCATTGAGGATAGCATGGGAGCAATGTTTATATTCCGATTATTTTTATGTTATAGAAAAATTTAAAGAGCGAAAGGCATATCTTGGTATAATTTGATTAGTTGGACAGAGTCAAAACTTGAAATCAGAGCTTGTTTTGAGATCCTAACTCTTAAGGTCTGTGCTTAATTTTTATCTTAGTAATAGGGTTGTAGATGGTGTTAATGTTGCTAGGATATTTTTTGTTTGGTATAATATTGAATAGGGATATGTTTTCTGCTTGTAGTTTTCAGCCCAATCACTGAAAATGATCCCAACTAAGGATTCGCTTTTTTCGATTGAAGTTTAATTGGACCCTGATATTCATATTTGCACTCTTCTTGTAGGTTGATAATCAATGTGTCTCGTTATTGGTTGCTTTTTATTCCTAGATTTTATTGGATTTGCTCCTTTGTTTCCCATGATTAAATGACCATGACAAATAAAATCTGTCAGTTCCTTCCTTGGAATGATGATGAGGATGCACGGCAACCTGAAACAAAAGCAATTATGGGTTGGTTGAGAGAGATACATTTTACAGCATCCGCAAGTTTGCATGGGGTAATATTTTGTTCTCACTTTTCATGTTGATAATGGAGGTTACTTTTTCTCTATCAAATTGTTTAGATTGCTTTAAATTCTTGACAAAGAGGTGGTAAAGGACTGCATTTGAAAATAAACATGATAAACATAGAAGAGCTAAATCATAAATTTTAGGGAAGAGAAGCTTCCCTTCCGCATTCCTCTGTCCTGGCATCACAGCTATTTTTTCTTTAATTTGAATATGCAAATATGCTTTGATCACCAACTCTCTCTCCTAATTCCAGTTAAGTTCTATGACTTGATTTTCTTGTAAGGCCCCAAAAGAGCAACTTATCTTTGTGAGATAGATTAAGCGCTAGATTTGGAAGCAAATGCATAAGAACTGTTCTGCCTGCGTAGTAATGTTGCTTGCAATGTACCTGAGTTTTTATCCTGACTACTACATATGAATTGAATGTCGACACATTTTACTTGTTTATATGTCATTAGAAGGATGCATGCTAAATGTTCATTGAATGGATCTCTTGAATTAAGAGTTTGGAAACATGCTTATAGTTATTTATATAAGAATGGATAGAAGATTGTGTAACCTTTGATAAAAATGAGAAATGGTTTCCATGATATTTCAGCCGACATGGAAAGAGACTTTCATGTGTAATTAAAACTCATTATTTAACAAATTGAAATTTATACTGAGTGAATTGATAAAAATATACATCCTGGATCCACATTTTTTTGGTACATGTCCTAGATCCACAGTTAATCATAGGACTGTAATGCTCCAATCATCTTAGAGTAATTGTATGGGCAAAAGTTTGTTTGCAATGTTATTATGAATGGATCTATAGTATGTCTTCTGACTTTTTCACTTCTTGGCTTTAAAACTTTGAGATTTAGCAAATAGTAAGATTGCCTACCAAGCTGACCTTATCATACAACATAAACTTTTTGAATTCAGTTTCAACAACAAAAAAAGGTAGAAAATGAACCAAATATAAAGATAAAAATTCTTGTTTATGAAAAGACAATATGCTTGCTTATTCTTATCTTGAGATGATATCAAAATAGCTTTCAAACCTTGGATGTAACTTGGTGTATTGGCGCATGTGAGCTCATACATATGGTCAAAGGTAGAAATCCAGTTTTGGGTGGCCAAAGTAAGAGCAATAAGTAAGATTTTGAAGGGGGAAAGGGGGTGGGTTGGGAGGGGCTTGATATGTGCTTCAAAAAACCAAAAAAGATGAGGAAAATTAAAGCATGTTAGGACTCTGCCCCTGCATGTGCATGCAGTGGGCTATGAGCATTTTCTTGTTTGTTCCATATATGCCTGTTCTCATCGTTTACCCTTTCATTTAGGCTCCATTTGATTGATGCTTTAGCATTTTGCCTTTTTGGTTTCTAATCATTTTTTTGGCAAAATAGACAAAGCAAATATCAAATGCATCAAACAAATGGAGCCTTAGTGAATGTGGGATTTAATTCCAAAGTTGTGGTATCACCAATTTAGATGGCTGACATCCAATCTAGTAAAAGATTGGTCCTTCTACAAGTGTGCATATTAAATTCTGTCTCATGACCTCAAAATATCTGGTCATAGAGTTGATAGAATGAGGTTGTGAATTTGATCTTGTTTAGAAAATATATACAAGAAACATTTTATCAGCTTAATAAAAGGAGAGTAGTTCTTAATAACATTTTATTGTTCACAGGGTGCACTTGTTGCAAATTATCCATGGGATGGAACGCAGGATAAAAGGTGATTATTCTTCATTCATTATCAGCTTTAAAATGCAAATTTGCACTTGCTCAATCATTCAAGGTCCTTGTAGCTTCTGTGTCTTATGAACTTAAATATCTTTTCTACGCATGTTAGACTATCAGGTTTATATCTGGGCATGCTAGGCTTCCAGCTTTTATGCAGGGTTTAGTCACACCAGTCTAATTCCTTTTCGATCAAGCGATTTAATTTCCTTGGTTTGGTTAATAGATGTTCATAAATTGGAATTTTTTCAGTTAACTTATAGATTGTATATTTCCATGATGTGGTTTTCAGGTGTTTTTTTCCTCATTTTTTGTTTTATTTGTATTTCAGTCTCAGCATATAATTGATTTAATTATGTTTTGGCCGGTAACACAATCTTTGATGCGTTGCTGGTTGATTTCTTTTCTTTTTTTGGATAAAGTACCACGATTGTTCATAAATTGGACTTTTTTCAGTTAACTTATAGATTGCATATTTCCATGATGTGGTTTCAGGCGTTTGTTTCCTTCAATTTTTGTTTTATTTGTATTTCAGTCTCAGCATATAATTGATTTAATTATGTTTTGGCCGGTAATACAATCTTTGATGCGTTGCTGGTTGATTTCTTTACTTTTTTTTGGATAAAGTACCATGATTGTTCTGCAATAATGAATGGTTGTGGCCTTTTGTGTCCCTATACCTTTTGTATTGTTAATAATGGCAACCTTAATAATGAGTTTCACTTGTCCCGATGTTGCTGTTAGTAGTGTTACTCTTCTACATCTATTCACCCTATGAACAGCATAAAAAATGGTGTTTGTGATCTATCAAGTCTTTTGTTATATGAATGCAAACTGCATCTTTTAAATGCAATGCTGGCATAGTTTTTCATGTTCATGTGTATTAAATCAGGAGGAATTATTATGCATGTCCCGATGACGGAACATTCCGGTTCCTGGCAAGTGTATATAGCCAATCTCACTATAACATGTCTTTGAGCAAGGAATTTGAAGGAGGCATTACGAATGGAGCATTCTGGTAAGCAGCTTGTTTGCAGATTATGATTAGAGAAATTGATTATTAAACGATGTAACACTTTCGTCATCTGTACTTCGGTTTCTGTAGTCTGTAATACTAGTCCTTTCTTATTACTTTTTCATGTTATGTACTTTTCATCAATTGATTTAACTTAATGCAGGTATCCCATATATGGTGGCATGCAAGATTGGAACTACATATATGGTGGTTGTTTTGAGTTGACCTTGGAGATTAGTGATAACAAATGGCCTAATGCTGAGGAGGTTAGAATCTGTCTAAGCCATATTTTACTTAAATAATATTATGCTTCCACTTGGATTAGGACTTGCATCATGGAGTTACTATGTAATCATATTCTATACAAGTTCTGGAAGAACATTTTTTTTGGAGAAGAAAATTATTGATCTAGTTTTTGCAGAAACTTCAAATTCTTACTTTCTATCATGTACTTGATAGAACTGGATTTTAAGGAATGATATTAAGTTTTCATCTGATTACTTTCCTCCCAAGTCCCAAACGGATGGAGTGGAATTACTCTAGTGCTCTTTATAATTAACTAGAATTGTATTCTTTAGTGCACTGAACTTTTGAAGGGTGGGGGCTTCTTACTTTTCTCATAAAGTCATTTATTGGAAAGATGGGTAGGAGGCATCCTTGTCACCTAGCATTCTTCCCTTCTTAACTAGTTGACATTACAAGACGAGCGTCTATGTACTTATCTTGCAATGAGTTTTATCTTGAAATTCTGCTAAAACCTGCAATTTGGTGATAGTAAACTTGGTCTATCTTAGAAACTTAATGTTGCTGTGTTCTTTTTGATAAAAAGAACCTCTTAGCTTTCTTTAAGGTTTATGTTCTTTCTTTTATCTTTTATTAATATGTCTCCTTCGCCCTTTCTCGATTCCCTGCTTCTGAGTCTCTTTATGCAACCTCTGGAGGTCTCTTTTATGGTTTTTTTTTTTATGAAAGCAAGGTTTCAGATAAAAGAAGGTTTTTTTTTTTAATTTTTTTTATTAGAGCCATCTGGAGTGATTGCTCTTGTTTAAAACCTTAGGCATCGAGATGTAGAAACTTATCGTGTCTTTCTGCCCCCGTGGTTCTCTTAAAACTGAGCAGTTAGTTAATTCTTTTGAAGGTGTGTTTGATGCAATTAGGGGAGCAGGCTATTTGAATGTGGTAAAGAATGTTTCAAAACTATTCATTGCAAATTCAGCATGGTGGCCTTCTACTTTATGTTTCATTATCCTTCCTTTCTGCCTCTATGCTTCCTCGCTCTTATGAACTTGCTTTCAATCATTAAAAAACTTAGCTGATCAACATGTTGTAACGTCCATGGTGTGAGTCAAGTTGCATGATCAACCTCACGAATTGCTCAACATAACCATGAAAATGCAGTGAAAATTTCATAGCAATTCTTGTTGCCCTATTCTAGGGATGCTCTAAATAAATGTTATTGACATGGATGGTTATTCTTCCATTTTTATTTTCTTTCTCTTAAATATATTAACAACAAAGAAAATTTTTTCTTTGCTTGTTAGTTTGATATCTTCTTCAATTAGTTAGTTCTTGAGTTTTGGTGGTGTTACTCTATTTTGATTTTTGCTTTGTGCCTGGTTTGAACAGTTAATTTAGTTAGTGTTTATTCTTGTTTTTACTATCATCCTGTTGCCTTTATCCATGTTCTTTTCTGAATGTAATTGTGCAGCTTCCTACCATTTGGGAGTACAACAAAATGAGCGTGCTAAATCTTGTTGCGAGCCTTGTGAAGGTAAAAGTGGAATTTGTGGAATCTTCAACTTGTCTTCTATTGAAAATTGAAATAGATTTCCTTTCTTTCTGCATCTTGTTCTAAAGTTATCTATTCTATTGGAGGCATTGTGGATAACAATCTTGAATACTCAACAAAGTGGAATATTTCCATGGTTTGCTGTCTATGAATCTTTGATCTATGTTACTTGTATATTTTCAGAAAGGAGTTCACGGAAGGGTCTTTTCTTCAGATAGTGGAAGGCCATTGCCTGGGTTGATCACAGTCAAGGGAATAAATTACACGGTGTGTTCACAACTTTATATGCAGTCATAACACACACATATCCTTATTCTCTCAATAATTTTCGCACAAATCATAATTTACGGATTCTGTGATTTGAAATTTATCAATCTCAATGTTTAGTCACTGGCATTAAAAGATAACAATTGACCTTCTTGTCCTTGTTTAATGAAGTCACTTCAAATTTTATAAGATATTGACTATGATCACTGAGGTCCAATCATTTCTCCTTAGAATGGAGAATTTATATCTTCTAACATAATTATGATTTTCTTTCTTTCTTTTTTTTTGCCCAAGAGATTCTTATGGTTTTCTACATGTCAACGTCTTTGCTTTGATTCTACTTGTCATAGGAGAACAGAGATTTTGGAATTTGTGAAGGTCTCTTCTTCTCATTTGGGGATGCAATTTCTGAAGAAATGTTAAGAACCAGGATTTAGCTTTAAGCTATCCGTCATAATTTTGTTTTCCTTTCTTTACCAACCTGTTTCGTTTGTAGACCATTACTACTTTGCAGCAATCACTTTAGAAAAAGAGAAAACGTGGTTGCCATAAATTTTGCAATTTTTGAGACATTTTTACATCCATATCCACGCTTCATGTTTTAGTTTCTATCACCTTTCCTGTTAGGGACCTCTTCTATACCAAACAGCAATTGCTATTAATATGCCAGATGTTAAAAACCAAAATAAAAGGGAAAATTAAATAGGTGGTTGTTATACTTTTCTGGGAGATTATTTATGGCAGTATCCATTCCGCTTGTACTTATGTTGGTTTTTATTGACATACACCTATGATTATTGTTAACAAAATATTCATTTCGCTGTGTATATAAAATTTTGACACCAGTTGATAAACTGGTGGTCTCAAGCTTTCTTTTAATAACTTGTTTCTTGGTTCTCCTGATCATGACAGGTTAAAGCTGGCAGTGTATTTTCTGATTATCATCGCTTACTTGTTCCAGGAGAGAGATATGAAGGTATGAAAAATGTTTAGTTGCATTATGTAAGGTTCTTTTTGGGGATTGTTAGAAATGTTGGAAATACATAGAGACTCTTGTTAATGGCATAAGAATGATAAGAAGGGGAAAAATGTGCATAATAATGCAATAAATTTAACATGTTGGAGTCTGTAGTTGGTCAAATAGCAAGAATAGTATAAGTTTGCTTTACACATACTCTCTCCACTAATGTAGCGACACTTAACCAAAGATCAATTAGTTTTTATTAAGCTTGTAATGTTAGGCTAGGGTTAAGAGATGATAAAAGAAAATTTAGGCTCATAACCCCTATACATGCATTACTTGGGATCCTTTTTTTTTTTTGATGAGAGAGCTTTCAAGAATTGTAACACCCCCAACCTAGATTCTTTTTTTTTTTTTTTCTCCTTTTCTTCTCAAACAGCAACCTCTTAATGATTTGCATATATACCATACTATTTTCATGCTTTCACCCTTGTATTTTTTTTTTTTTCTCTTTTGAATTCTGTTTTTCTTTGTTTGAAAGCTGTTTTCAGCTTTTCTTTTCTTTGTATGTGCTGCTGAAGAGGTGTTAAGTAATGCATGCACTTACTAATAAGTTTGGTTTATTGTGGCATTGAAGAATCTTTATGATCATTTTTAATATGGAAGAGTAGACCAGTGCTGTTAAGGCATGCGCCTTAGCACCAGACAAGAAAAACTTCTCAGACCCTTTTGGGGAGGCACATTTAATCAGGCACACTATTTTATAAGGAGGTAGATGCAAAAAAAAGCCTGCCTGACTTAAGTGCTCTTTAATTTCTTTTATTTTTAATTGTTTTCATTTGCCGTACCTTTAAAAGTAAAAAAGGGGACAAATAGAGCCATTTTCTGTTTTCATTTTTTTGAAAAATGAAAAATGAGTGAAAACATATCTGGTAATTAAAAATGAAAACAAATTTTTAGAAAGCAAAAATGAAAATAGATTGAAATATGAAAAAAACAAATTTCAATTGAGAAAACAAGGGATGCACATTACTTTTTTCTTTGTGTTTTGCAAGTTAACATATTTGAACACTTTTTAATGTCATTAATTAATAAATATATATTATATTTATTATTAGATACCATTAACAGTAATATCATTGAATATTTTATTTATTTTATATTTTTAGAAAATAATTTTTATTTTCATTTACCAAATACATTTTTTAGAAAACAAAAAATAGGAAATGAAAATTATTTTCTAGAAAATGAAAATAAAAAATAAAAATAGAAAACATTTTCTCAAACCAAACAGAGCCTAAATGTTTGAGTATCCAACAACAAACATGGGGCCACAAAGAAATCATGCAAACATGGGGCCACAAAGAAATCATGCATATTGGCCAGGAAAATGAAAAGAAAATTTTGTGTGTTTTGTAGGATAAACTGGATCACACTTTAGAGTTTGTTATCAGAATTATATATCTTAAGCTTATTTTATATATATACACAGGCACGCATACAAAACGCACACAAACATATTGCACCTTACTTCAATCAGGCGAGTGCCTTTTTTTGCACCTTGCACCTCAGACAATATAAGGGCTCTAGTGCCTAGAGTGTGCCTTACACCCTTCACAACACTGAAGTAGACAACATTTGTTAGGATGGCTGATCCTTGAATGTGTTGCATCAGGTCCTCCGTGTTACTGTCCTTTTTTTTGATTTGTTTATGATTATGGACATCCATCTCTTATGTTTGGGCTTCGTATTTACTCTCATATCTATAATATTATCTTGCCTTCCGATAAACAAGGCATGCACTTGGATTTTGCAGCTGGTTGAATACATATTTCAAACATTTTGTGCATCTCTTGCTGATTTTCAAGTGGCAAGTCATTGCAGTTTATGGTTTAGGATATTGGTTTAATGCCATTTTTTTTTCGTTTACTACATTTTTGCTCATCATGCACAGTTTATAAGCATCGAAATATCTCAATTCAATTAATTAATAACAACCTGTATATTATGAACTGGTGAATGTGCTTGCAGTTATGGCTGCTGTGCCTGGGTATAAATCAAAGGCCACAAATATCTGGTTGGAAGAAGAAGCAATGACTGTAGACTTTATTCTTGATCCGGAAATCACTTCTGAGGGGACTCTACTACGAAGTATGTGTGATTGCAATTGTGGCAGCAAGAGCAGGCTCTTTTGGGAAGAGTATTTTTTGGGAGTTCACTTTGAAGTTTATTTAGTCTTGATTGTTTTCCTAGCATTCCTATGCTTTTTGCTAAGGAGGCGAATAAAATTCAACCTTTTAAAACACGGACAGTCACCTAAAAGATTAGTGTCGATATGACCTTTCTTTGTAACACTTGTAACTCATGTGGATTATGATTGATAAAGGAAATAGAATATCTTTTTGCTCAAATGTGCGACCAATCTAATGCTTGTTTGAGTTTACTGTGAACTATTCTTTGGATTACTTACATAGCAATTTCTCTAACCTACAAGTATATGGATAATGATAAACAATGTAAACCTGTAGTTTCTTCTGACACGAGAAAATGTATTGTTGTAGATTTTTGTTGTTCCATTTTGTTCTGTACGGTGTTTAGCGTCTTTTTCTGCAGTTCTTTAGCTAAGCAATCTTATAAAAGTGTCTACCTATAATTGAATTCGGAGCTTAATTCTGTTAGTTCATGCAGTTAATATTAAGAAATGATATTCAACAGGTTTGATATTTAAATTTCAACATCTGCAACCTCTTCTTAATGTTCTAACTATATGCTTATTTACTGTTATGTTTGATCATTTGCCTCAATTCAAGGACTAAATTCTCCTTACTGCAATTTGGCTTTCAAAAATTGACAAAATCAAGTACAACGGAAAATGTTTTCCTCAGAATGCTATGTTGCTAAACAATTTCTTTGTAGTTTTTGATTTTTTTGGTTTTGTATTAAAATTTTACTATTAATATAAGAAAAAGAAAGAATGGAAAAACGTGAAAGAAATCACAAATGTAGTAATACTGTGATAACAAGATGGTTAAAATGGAAGAGATTAAATATCGAGTAAACTTTATAAAAAGAAAAGATCAATTCGGTTAGAAATTAAGATAAATTTGTTTGGACAGGATGAAAGAATCATGTTAACATGTGTGAGGGGATTTTTGCAAACCCAGAGAATTGAGTCCCTACTCGATGACTAGAGCAGTTAGGAAAACAAAACATAAGGTGTTTAACAGAAGCAATAAAAAGGACTAGAGCAGTTATGTTTGAGCTTCAAAGAGATTATTTTTTCCTTGATTTTTGCATGATAACATGTCAATCTAATTAAGAATATGCATATCCATACTTACGGTAAATATTCTCAAGTTTGATCAATGGAATATTGCATTATGCATCCACACACGTATATATATATCAGGTCAAAGACTTGACCATTCTATAAAGAATTCAAGTCTAAGAGTTCAATTGACATGAACCCTTGCCCACTCTAAAGAGTGATAAAGAAGGTAAATGGACTACTTGACCTCTTTATGTTGCTGTAACACAAGTCATTACAGAAGTGTTGGAAGCTTTTGATCAACAAATGTTGATCTCATTCTTCACATAGTTTTAGCACCGTCTTCCTCTGCTACTAGTTTGTTTAATCGTTCCATTAATATATTGAAATCATCTTGGCTTCGGATCAGGCTGAGTCGAACATAGCAATCTTCTGTACCAAACCTACTTCCTTGACGGCCAATGATATTAGCTGCCATGAGCACTGCATTACAATCTTTATCTTCTTCTCTCTCACATTTCAACCATGCATAAGCTGCCATAATCATTAGGTTGTTAAAATTATGTACCTATGTATTTAAAGATATTCTGTTGTATATGGCTACGGAGCAATGGTAAGAATAATATGTAGTAAAGATAGGAATTAAACAAGTGATTAAAACCTCGTACTAGTCACAAATATTTGGTTTATTAAGGTCGATTGTAAGAGTTGAGAGCATAAAACTTATGTGAATTTGAAAGAAGGTTTGTTCTTGTGAAGGGTTAATGTTTTAATCTATCAAATGAAAGTTTAAAATGAAGAGAATTGCTTGGGCAAGAAGAAAGCACGTTAAAGGAATTTTTTGAACGAAATAATGGATTGACTCCCTGCTTAACCATCTAATTCCACTAGGAGAGCAAAGATTAAAGTTGTATATAGAGGTAAAATGGTGCTGGAATGAAGATATAGGTGACCATCCCACAAAACTCAGGACATTTATGTTTGAAGTTCAAACAACAGAATGAGAAATTGAACTGATTGTTTTTCTTTGGATCTCATATCATGTGCACAAGTTGTTCCTGTAGTGAACTAGAAAGTGGCATTATGGTCGTTGTCCATAGTTGTGTCTCAATCATTATTGAAACCTTAATTTCTTATAGGTAACAGATATGGTCTGCTTTCAATTTGTCAAAGCTAAATGTTCTAGAATTATGCACCAATGGAATTAAGTTCAGATCTAGCTTGCAGCAGCTAATAAGTAATAAGAAAATCAATAAAGGAGCCAATTTATGCCTTGATGATTATAGGTAGTGTACAAGAATATGATTGTTGATTCCAAGACCTGAATGATGGAACATGAAAGTGTACTCATCGCTTTTCTATCAGAGTTCTTGTCATGGCCAGCTGAATGATGGAACATGTGTGCAACGCAGGAGATTAAATTTTTAAGCCTAAATGAGGTTGAGAGAAATACCTGGTGAAGGTTCTCTGACTTTGTTGTAAAAGGTGCAGTACTGGGGATCAATTTTCTGAAGAGAGAAGCGGTTTGACAAGGATAAGGTCTCGATCAATCTTTCCCACCTGGTCTTCATTGTCTGGTATGCGAAGTCAAATATTTCAGTTCCTTCTTCTAGGGCTGCTTTCAAAAGCTTAAAAGTTCTCAACTGACTATCTTTAGAAACACCCATCGAATTTAGCTCCATGTGTGCTATCATTCTGTTAAACACAGTTTCATCCTTTATCACTGCCCACCTGTGTAAAACACAAAAATGTAATTGCTGTAATTCTTCTTTTTTAACATAGGGGGCCGCAGACTGGGAATAGGAGAAGGGGTTGTTGGTGCCGGGATCTGAACTCCAAAGCTGCTAAATACCATCTCTTAAAGTGGTTATATGAATCAACTAAACTACGTTCTGGGTTCGTGATTACTGTAATTCTGCTTAATAGAATAACAATTCTTTCTAGCTTAGTTGCTAAGCTAGTTTTACTGAAAGAGTATAATTGCACAACCATGAAGGGATGGCTTTTTTTTCATAGTAGTTCATAAAGCACCTATAGGCCTATAGCACTAATGAAAAACTAGAATCTTAAGTTTAGTAGAGAATGGTGGTCAGAAGTTTTACCCAAATCTGCTCCCAGCATGACCAGTAAGCTTGGAAAGTGTAAAAACCATCAGATCTTCATCTGCAGGAGCTGGAATTGGTGTAAAATGTGGCCAGTAATATGCATGATCATGGATTGTTTTGACATTAGGTCCATGAAGAACCGCTTTCTTTAATTGTCCATCAGGATTGTTTGGTGAAGTTACGAACTCAATCATATTTGCTCTAGCATCTGATCTATTCCTCCATGTATAAGCATCTCCTTCAAACTTGAATTTTTCTGAATTAAAATATTCTGGTTGTAGTTTGTCGAGCTGTAGAAATTCAATTTAGTATCAAACCATTGACAACAATTTACATACTTGAGTGAAAAATACAATACGGGTACTGGACCAGACCGTGTAGTAAGGGACTGAAGCTACAACTCCTACAGGTGAGGATGTATTTTCGAGGGACAGCGCATAAGCTGCAGCAATGAGGACTTGGGTTGAACCTGCACCAAAAACAATAAATCTGTCTTCTGTGACTGCATTCCCTACAATTGCATGCACTTTGCGGATGAGCTTTTCTAGCTCTTTTGAGATAAAAGTTTTATCATTATAGCTGTAGCTCATTTGGTGCCACCCTGCTACTACCAGTGCACTACTAGCTAAATGCTGCATCCAGAAAGGTTCCAAAAATAATGGATCCCCACTGCAAACCAAAATGTGTCAACGCAAGCAAAGATTAGTAGCGAAGATGGGATTGATAAGACGATATTATGGTTGAGGATAAAACTAAAAATTATATATTATCACCCTTATGCTAAGAATTATATGTCAACATTGACGATATAACTAGTACGTTTCATGCAACTGCGGATCAAGTAACACAAGAGAAGTTCCAATGGAGAGATAGAAATCTATGACTCAAAGTATTTCTGAGTGAAAATGATGTTCTTCATGAAAAGCGTGGTTAAACCTCTTGAGAGAAGTAGGCCAGGGAACAGAAACATGTTAGATTATAAAACGCACTTGTTTGAGGTGGATCCAAATTTGGATGTAAAAGTAAAACAAATCGAGATTGTTTTGCCCCTGCCGAGTTGAATTCTAGTGATTTCTAATGACCGAATTCCTCAGTTTAAACAAAGCAACAGACTCTTTAAGCTTTAACAAAAATAATCATATTCAACGAATGTGACTCTTTAAGCATCAGTTCTTGAATCTCATATCAGGGAGGACCGACTATGATATATATGAAGAGACTTGGAACTTATAGTGGTTAGGTATTTTTTAGAATAAAACCGGAAGACTTTGGGTGCGCGCGCGTGTAAGAGAAAGAGAAAGAAAGAGACAGAGAGAGAGAGATACGAAGAGAATTGAACTTACATTGGTGAGGTATTTTTAGAATAAAACCGAAAGGCTTTGGGTTAAAGCCGTAAATATATATATATATATATATATATATATATCTGTGTGTGCGCGCGTGCGGTATCATCCCAGTATTTTGGTGCTTAAGACTTCATGTCTATGGTCTGAAATTTGAAACTCCAGATGGATAAAATGAGATTTTATGGGATAGGAGAGGGTTACCTTTCTGAATATCATGTGCAGAAAACATAAAAAAGAGTTTTTTTTCTTTGAAATAAACTTGATTACCTTCTAAACACGCTAAAGAATGAAAACAGAAGACCTGAATCAATAACTAAAACTTGTCATATACGAATCAAATATGAGTTTGTTTTTTGAAGAAATAACCAAATTAAGCCTGAACTTGAATAAAAAACTGGAAACACTTCCTGACATCATCTGTTGCAGAGGTACCTCTCAGCATTTGCTGTGCAGTCAGGTATAAACTGAGAGCAGTCAGGGCCTGTAAAGCATGTATTGCATTCACAAACTGGTTTATTTCCATCGACAACCAAGCCATCCAAGTAAGCTCTTCCATGTCCTGAACAGGATATAGCTGCCACAGCTTCAGCTTCTTCTGCAGCTCTTCTGCTCCAACTCAATTTCCGTTGACCACCCATATAAATATTGATAATAAACAAAAGATTAAGAATTATAGAAGACACCAGACAAGCACTATTCATTTCTTTCTCTTTTTTGAAGATCCCAATCATCTGATAGAACCCCCCCCCTTTTTTTTTTTTATTGAAATTACAAAAGAAACAAGGAGATCAATGGTATAAAATGGTGCTGATACTTTATACAAGCTTGCTGAAATATTTTTACTTTCTGTTTGTGCTGAGTAATATATATTCTTATTTTACTGTTGCTGATAACGACAATATGAATAAAAATGAAACTCATTTTTCCTGTTTGACTCCAAATTTTCTTATTTTAGACTTTTAGTGCTGAAATATGTGGATGAGATTTAAAGAAAGTGAATTACTTTTCCTGGTGCTTTGTATAATTTGATTTTAGATAGAATTTATATATATGATACATTATTATTATTATATAAATTTCATATATTATTAATAAATAAAAAATATTATTTTATTAATAAATAAATATTAATTTTTAAAATAAATATATAAAAATTAATATTTTAAAAAAATTTATTTACATCATCTAATTTATTTTATTAATAAAATAATATTATTTAATTTATTAATAAAATATAAAATTTATACACTAATAATTCATTAAATATAAAATTTTTAAAATATAATTACTAATATCATTTTTAACTTAAAATTTTTTTTTATAAAATAAAATCGTAAAATTTTTAAAATAAATAAATAATATCTTACAATATATTCGCAAATTAAATTTAGAAACATCTCCAATTAGTTGAATGTGAAAGAAAAAAGTTAGCTTACATGAGCCATGACGTCTAATCGAAGAAAGAGATTGATTTTGTCGGCCACATACACAGTAACGCTAGCAGCAGTCGCAAACACACCCGCATTCAAACACGACGAATATTGTGAAGCCACGTCATTCAACTTTTGTGGATTTGTATTAAATATTTATTACATAAAAATAAATAAATATTTTTTCATTGTTTTTTTTTTTTTTCACTCAAACATTTTTCTTTAATTGTTAATTTTTTTTTACAATCTAATTAGTCAAAAAAGATTATTAATTAAAAAAAATTAAGTCATTTCTATTATGATAAAAAAAGAAATTGAGCACAATAAATGAAATTTAAAGTACAAACTTGTCCAATAGTAAAGTACACCAATGAATCTAAGATTTTTTTCTTTTTTTGGAAATATTCATTTATTATCGTTGTTGTCTTGTAGGATTCGGGATTGGTTGGTAGTAGATTGTGACTGAATATTGAATAATGAGAATATTTAAAAAATATTTATTTTAAATTTTTTTATTTTTTAAATATTTTGAGGTTTTATATATAGGAAGTTATAATTTGAAAAATAAAAAAAATATAAGTGTTAATATTTGAATTATAAATTAATTAGATATTATTTTTCATGGGTGATTATATAAATTAATTAAATTAAATTTTAATTTAATTATTATTAGATTTCATTTTAAAGTTAAAATTACTTTTCACACTATTTTAAAGTATGATATTATCATTTATGAATAATTATATAAATTAATTAAATTAAAATTAAAATTTAATTATTATTTGATTTCATTTTAAAGTTAAAAATACTTTCCACACTATTTTAAGTATGGGTAAATCCTAAATATACAATATTTATTATTTCCTGTCATTTTTTAGTGGTGAAATGCATTAAGTTTTTTTTTTTTTTTTTGGTTTCAAAAGGGTAAAGCTTTATTAAAGTATATTTTAAAAAGTTTTTGTGATCTAATCATGAAACGGAAAATATAAAATGCATTAAGTTGGTATTTGAAAAAGTCTAAAATAATGTTTGTCCTTTTCTTCACACAATCATAGATATTAGACAATTTGTGACAGCAGGCATCCGATTTTAAGAAATCTTTCTAAATTCGATTTTAAAAAATCAATTTCAATTATTTTGAATTAAAAGAAGAAGCAGCAAATGAATTGAAATGAATTTAAATTCAGGATTATTTGGTTATTTTTATTTCAATTAATTTTTTTAGTATAAAATTTATTTAATAAAAAATAAAAAAGTAAATTTTTAAAAATTTAAGGAAAAAAAAAAAGAAAAAGAAAGGTGACATATGAATATTTAAAAAGACAAAACACCTTAAATTTGTTTCCTACTTGATTCCATTTTCAAAAAATTTTGATTTGATTTCAATTTCTTTTAAAGAACCTATTATGTTGAACCGTTGCAAATTAAAATCAATCGTATACGAATTATTTCATTATTTATACCTCAATTATTTTTTTTATAAAATTTATTTAATAAAAATTAAATTAAAAAAAGAAATAAAGAGTTAAAAAATTAAAATTAAAAAGTAAAAAAATGAAAGAAGGATAGGATGCCCTCGGACACTCTCTTTTCTTTATTCTCTACAATTTTTTTTAATAAAAAAAGTTACTTTCATTACTCTAACAAGAAATCAACGTTAGGAATAGCTCCCTCCCTTCGTTCAACATTCATTCCACGTTGAAAACTACCTTTCTTACAAACCCGCACGTGGCTTCATTGAGGCATCTATTTCTGTTCGACCAAATCATCCACAGAATATACATACATGTTTCCAGCTTCCCCTCCTGGTTCGCCTTAACCAAGAAACCAATCCGAAAATCTGGGGACATGGCCCATGTTTCCAGCCATCCCTGCACCCAGTTAGATAACCTTTCCCATATACAGCCACTGAATACTTTCAAAAAATAAATGATATCTCGTCCCCCCTCACCCCCCCCCCCCCCCTCCCAACTTTTCCACAAACACAGCAGGTCCTTCAACTTGGATATTGCGTCCTTTTAGAGCACTCCTCACTGGTAATATGCCCCATGGCAATCTGCACACAAAAACCTTCACGTTTGGAATTACTTTGGCCATCCATACTAGCTCTTTCGAGAGTCTAATCATATGATAAGCAGACTTTATCGAGAAATTCCCGAACTTCGAATCAACCCTTATCAATTTGTCTGCTATTGGAATCCTGCTCAAAGGAATTTGGATTATTAATTCAACATCCTCTTTGCAAAACAAACACGACAGCATATCCATATTCCAGTCTCTCCTACTATTATCCATTAATTCTGCCATTTGTACCAACTGGCCTCCATCCCCTTGTTGCAGTGCTGGTCTGAACATTGGTGGTTATTTAACCATCTGTCACTCTATACATCAATGCTTCTTCCATCCCCTACCCTCCACATTGACCCTTCCACCAACACTGATCTCCCAACTAAAATACTACGCCAGGCATATGATGGATTAGCCCCCAACTCTGCTTTCAAAATCGAGTTCCCTGGAAAATATCTCGCTTTTAATACTTGGTGGCACAGCGACCCTGCATCTTGCACCAACTGCAACCCTTGGTTAGCCAATAACGCCAAGTTAAATCCAATCCTCTATCCATTTTTGCAACACATAAAGAGTCCTAATTTTTCCAATGAATCCGTTTTTGTTCATTCCCTTCATTCCACCAAAGCCCAGCAATAATCATGTCTAGTTCATGCAACAGACTTTTTGGTAATAAGAAACAGCTCATGTTATACATAGGCACGACTTGAGACACTGATTGGATCAACACTGCCTTCCCTGCATAAGATAATAGTCGACCTTTCTTCCCCCCTGCCATATCCTCTCTTTTCGTCTTTGAAAAACCATCCTCTTCGATGGTCCAAACATAACTGGCACCAGGCGCAGAGGTCTGAGCACCAGTGACTAAGGCTTGAGCACTCGGGACAGTTGTGGGGGTTGCCGCAATAAGCATGGAAGAAGTGTTCAAACCGCCCGTACAGCATGCAGGCTTGTCCGCACAGCCAGGATCGGGCCTGCAACATGCCTGCACTGCACCTAGGTGGACCTAGGAGAGTCTAGTTGATTCAGAATCTTCTAGAAACATTCAGGATCGGCAGCATTCAGTAAGATAATCTGGTTGATCCTGAAAATCAAGAGGAACCTCGTATAATTTGTATAATAATATGTAATCCCTAATTTTTAGGAATCTTGTAAATCCCTTGATTTTAAGAGATATCCATAATTAGAGTTGAGATCTCAAATATAAATAGAGAGTTGTCCCACCCTTAGTTCTACATCATCAGACACATTTGTTTCAATAATCTACAGAGTATATTTTAGCTTTCTGTTGCATTCTTTAACTTGCGTATTTCACCCTTCCTTGTTTTTGTTTGCCCGCAAGCTAGTTACATAGGTTAAACTTCAGCATTCAAAATTAATTCCAAGTCCTAAGTACGCACAAATTCAAGCTTAAATCTGAAGCCCGTAATAGTTGGTATCAAAGCAGGTGTTGCTCGTGTGTTTTGTGTGCAGGTTGTTAGATTGTAGTCAAGGAAATGGCATCTCAGAGCGATGTTGCTAGCCAACAACAAAAAGCCTAAGAGCAAGACCGTGGAAGGGGAAAGAAGACTAGTTTGAGATATATTTGGTTTACCATGGACAGGAGGTTAGCTAAGGTGGAAGTGACAGCGGCTGATGTGAGGGACAAGCTTAATGAGGTAGAGGCTCGCTTTGAGGATATGGACTCTAGGGAGAAGGAGCTCAAAGGCGAGATGCAGGCTGCCTTGAATGAGACAATAGACATGCTTACCTGAAGGAATGAAGCCTTAAAGGCCATGATGGAGATCATGCGCAAGGAGTTTGATGAGCTCAAGAGGGAGTTTATTGCTTGCAAGACAGCCATTGGGAATGGCATGATTGCTGGTGTACTAAAGTCTCGTGTGGAGATCCCCAAACCCAAAGAGTTCAAGGAGACTAGGACTGCAAAAGAACTGGACAATTTTCTATGGGGATGGAACAGTGCTTCCAAGTCATAGGCATGCAGAATGATGCTATTAAGGTAAGCATTGCTTCCATGTATGTTACTGATGTCGCTTTATTGTGGTAGAGGCGCAAATATGATAACGTGAAGCATAGGGATGCCATGATTGGAACTTGGAATGCATTCCAAAAAAAGTTAGAGCAATTTTACTCGAAGTATGCCAATTATGAGGCGCGAGCAAAGCTACGCCGGCTAACTCAGCAAGGGGACATAAAGGAATATGTCCAAAAATTTTTTGAATTAATGCTTCAGATTTCAGATCTGAGCGAGCTCGAAGGTTTATTTGCCTTCATGGATGAACTCAAGCCATGGGTGAAGCACGAACTACAAAAGCGACGAGTTCGTGATCTGACCAAGGCCATAACTACAGCTGAGTCCTTGGTGGAGTTTAGGCCACAGAATAAGTCGGAGTCTACCAAGCCCAAGCTGAAGGGCAGGGACAAGAGGGATCGGGAGAGACGGTCTAAGGGAAAGGATCGTGATCAGCAGTCCAAGGATGAGGACCGAGACCGTTCGGAGAAAGATGTCCAGGAAAAGCCACCAGCGGGGAAGTGGAAGGCTAAGAGGGACTGGGAGTCAATCTCATGCTCCCTATGTGGAGAAGGCCACATAGCGCGAAACTGCCCACAGAGGGGCAAGCTGGTTGCCGTACACAAGGAATCGGATGAGGAGCCAGAGAAGGAGACAGTAAACCTAAGTTGGTATCCTGCGCCAATTCTCTTGTTACACCCAGTGTGTTCTTAAAATCATCACTGACCCCCATTGATGTTTTCAAGCTGAAAAGTATAGCAGATTTTGCTATGTTTATCATTTGACCCGATGCATGTTTATATGTTTGTAGTATATTCAAAACCTCCCGGCATTCAACCACACTAGCTTTCATGAATAATAGGCAATCATCCGCAAACAACAGATAAGAAATTCTTGGAGCCCTTCTGGCCACTGCCACTCTATGGAAAAAAGGAAGTATATTTCCTCCATGCTCGGCTTGTTTCAGTAAACAGGACAGCCCCTCTATGGAAAAAAAGGAAAAGGTATGGTGGTAATGGGTTGCCTTGCCTGAGTCCCTAGTCGGATGAATCCTTCCACATTGGTTCCCATTCACCATCACCGAATATGAAACACTACGCACGCACGTCGTAATCTATGAGACCCATTGCGTCGAGAAACCCATCTAAACCTATCTTATACAGGCCATACCCTACTTATGGACATCCCTATTATACATCACCCTTTCCAGATAATCCCATTCAATCCTGTCATATGCCTTGCTCATATCTAACTTGAGAGCCATCTGCCCTGTCTTACCACCCCTCTTATTTGATCATTGCATGAATTGTTTCATGAGCTACCACCGCGTTGTCAAAAATCATTCGTCCTGGCACAAACGCATTTTGATTTTGTCCCATAAACATTGGCAAAAAGGTTTTCAGTCTATTAACCAACGTCTTGGAGATAATTTTATACAAAACATTACACAGGCTAATAGGTAAGTAATCCCTTATAGAACTAGGTGCTCCTACCTTTGGTATAAGGACAATCTTTGTATGATTAAGATCCTCGAGCAAAGCCCCCCCTATTCAGGAAATCCAAGACCGCATTTTTCATACCAACTCCTACTACATGTCAGCATTTTTGAAAGAAAAATGCTGACATACCACCTGGTCCTAATGCTTTGCTCGGATTCATTTAAAACACTGCTTCTTTCACTGCTGTTGTGAAATCCTTTTCAAGTTGCTTACTCACTTGGTAGTTGCCTCCATGCGGTACACTACTTTTTCAATCTGTGTGGGCCAAGATGTAGAGAAAACATCCTGAAGATGCCCCGCAATAATTCTTTCAATTTCCTCCCCCTCAGAATTCGGATATCCACCTTCCCCTATCATCCTGCAGCTTTAATATTGAATTTATCCTTTTCCTATGGGACGCCGTAGCATGGAAAAATCTAGTGTTTCTGTAGCCCCCTTAAGCCACAACGCCTTCGATCTTTGCCTCCACGTCGTTTCTTCACTTTACATTAGTTGACTCAATTCAAGTTTGCATTCTCGAGTCCTGTCGGTTTGAGCCCACTTTTGCTCTCTTTCCACCAAAACCCGTAGCTCCTTTTGCGTTTGTTGTATCATGTGTTGAACGTTACCAAAAACTTCTATGTTCCATCATCCGAGACTGCTAGCACATTTCTTCCTCATTTTTCCATGGCATGGATATAGTCTGTCGAGTGTATGCAGCAAAATAGGCAGGTGATATGACGTTGTCGAGACCAAATGCTCTTCCCGTAGCACTGAAACACCTTCCACCACGACGTGGATGCAAGACATCATGAGTAAAACAGAACACTTTAAACCTATCTTAAACCTATTTTTAATCTGTCTTCGATTTTCAAAATTAGAATAAAATCTCCATTTGATCTTGATTTTTTAAAAATGCATCACTTAGATAGGGATGAATCAAAACTCTTACTTCTATTGACTTTTTTCTAATAAAATTTATCCAATAAAAAATTAAATGAAAAAAAAATCAATAAGTGTAAAATAAAAATATAAATAAAAAATATGTAAGTTTTGTAGAAAAAGTAAGATGTCATGTAAACTTCACCTTTTTCTAATTTCTGCAAAATTAATATTATGGATTTTGTGGTTGGAGTTAATAATAAGATAAAGCCTTCCTACATACAAAGGTTACGTAGTATAAACTATAAACCTAGACCGTTGATGTTGCCTATAAAATACAGTGAAAAGCATTCGTAGATAACATAAAGCTTTGGGGAATGGCTTGGGATTTGCTTCCATGTGTGAATAGTTTGCAGAAGGCATTGTGTATTTCCTGGGAAATAATCTTTGCATTAAAAAAATATATTTGATGATTTCTTAAGCAAAATGCTGCAGAGTTGACCTATTCCTTGAGTGAAGGAATAAAAGTCTTTCAAAATGATTTGATGAAAAACTGCTCTCTAATAAGAAAGGACAACTTAGTGCCCATTGTGAAGCAGTCCAGAGGATACGTGTAGAAGCTGAAAAGAGTTACATCTAATTTGTAAAATATTATCCTTACAATTTTGTGTCACAAAAATCGTTTCACAAATATAAATTTAAGTCTCTACTTATGTCATATTGCATCCTCATATTTTTTCAATATGAAATTGGAGCATCAAATAAGCATTATAACATGAAACCGCTTGTCCTTCCGAAAATAGCATAAGAAAGTATATACTAGCATAATGCAGCTGCAAGAGGCAGCAAGCGAGTCCCTGGAACAGAACAATTTTGGCTCACTTGCATTGGAGAGCTAAATTTTAGAATCATGAGAGACTAATATGGAACGAAGAGTGTCGACAATGGAGTCGATTATTGCATGAGAATGGCTAGTAGCTGCTAACTTCAAGTGTTTAGGTGCTTCTGATCTATCAAAGTAGAAACCACCAGATACCAGTTTCTCTTTAGGCTGTAAACCCAACCATATAACTGTGTCTGCACCCTCTTCACTAGTTCTGAGCTTTCCCGAAAAACTGCAATGCATTTTACAAAGTGAAAAGTAACGGAAAAACAAAAAAGCATAGACTAATTGTCATGAATTGGACAAAGATGAGTTTTTTGAACTGCTGCTTGAACGAGAAAATGACTCACGATTTGTTAAAACCAGGTAAACTCTTAGCTACTCCAGGTGTCTCAGCCCAACCTGGGTGCATTGAGTAAAACCCAATTCCTTTGTGCTTGTACATCTCAGCCCACTTTTCTGTTAGTGCCACCTAAGAAACAATAGCAACAAGGCTTAGATATTCCTTCTATGATCCAAAATTAGATTAGACTATGATCATTTAATTTAGTTGAATTATTGGCAATATATTACCAATACTAATGTTATATTTAAAATATTAATTAGCAAAAAAGAGCAATAACTTTCTTAATAAATTCCAACAGTGAAAAAGCTATCAACTTAACAGACCTGAACTCGCTTGTTCCTAGCGTATTGCTCTACTCCATCAAATTTTCCATCACTAAACTACAGTTACACAAGCAAAAGGGGGTTTCATAAGTATCCACTAATTGCACGAAGGCAGTATCAAGAGGTTTACAAATGGGTAGCATAGAGGAAGAAAAAAATCACCTGTAGGTCACTGGTCAAGGAAGCAGTATACATTCCACCAGATGAAACTGTGATGACTCGAGCATCAGGCGCAGCTTTCTCCAGCAAAGGCAACATTAACTCCGTTGTGGCATAAGTGCCCAATACATTTACAGCAAAGTTCAACTCAAATCTGAGGCACGGGAGAAAAAGGACAGGACATCATATATTTTTTCGTTCTTTTTTCTTTTTCCTTAGTTTTTGAGGAAGAACAAATGATGCATCAAAGATTTTTGCCAATTATAAAAGTGACAAACATACCCTTCAGATGTAGTGACTCGTTTGTGCTCCATTAAACCAGCATTGTTGACCTAGAGGCAATAAAACATGTCAAAAAAAAAAAAAGCATCAGCTTTACATGAAGAAATAGCTATTTATAAGTGCAGGCTATGCTTAAAAGGATAGTATCTCATTATAAATTGGAATAGAAAATCATACCTGTCTATATAAAGTTTCCAACTAAACAAAGACAAATGTTTCAGAATGGAAAACAAGTATGCACATATCAAGGTATGGTAGACAAATATGTATATATTCAAAGAAGGTAGTAGTTATTTAGAACTTAAATGCTGTCCTTACATCCCATTGCTGGTTGTAAGACAACTACTATTTCTTGAAGGCAACTTTAACTTATAATAAGCAGAGAAGAACTTTACAAGAACATGAACGGGAACATCCTTTGAAGAGAATCTGGATGCAAAGGACTTGATCTCGCTGATGGATGAAAGATCACAAATCTGCAAGCTAGATTTAATGAGCAATTTAAGATCGAAACACTGTAGAAATTGTGTAGATACCATAAAACTGTAAATGGATAGGGCCTAATTTACCAAAATTCCAAAGAAATAAGCTCTTCAGAGTCCATCATGAAAAACAACAGATATGCAAGGGAAGGATGACAAGTACCTCCAAATGAACATTTGGATTGCCTGTTGAAGATTGAATCTTTGAAAGAGCAGCTTCTCCCCTCTCCTTGTTACGACAAACCATATAGACAGTTGCCCCACTGGTAAAAATATGATAATAACATGAACAAAAAGAAAAACAGGATGCATGTTCATCCAAAATGCCTGAATGCTTATATTTAATAAACCAAACAATCAGAAAATGTCAGAAACGATCAATACCATGATGCAAGACCCTCAGCAGTTGAAAAACCAATGCCAGAATTTGCTCCTGTGACTATGCAGTTCTTCCCCTCTATTCGTATTTGCATATCTTCTGGTTGGAATTTCTTGGAGTGCTCCCTGAAAATCAGAGAATATCTTCAAAAGAATATGCCTGGATGTCAAGGGATCATTTCCTAGTATTTAAGCTTTGGTGAGCAAAATATTGGCTTCTATGATCACTATTAAAAGCCAATATTGGTGGTGATAAAAACACATAACTTAAACCCAACGTCATAAAAATCAAAGATTGATCACCTTTCATTCTGTCAGTGAAACAGTAGTGATCATAGCAAAAAGTTTAAAGCAAGCAAATGTGCAAGTGTCTCACATAATTCTGAATTCCATGTTCCTTCACATATTACCATTAAGAGAACATTGGTACTTATTCATTCTATATCGATATTCAATTGTCAATTGAAAGATTCAAAATCCAGTAATTAATTTGAATTAATTATTTTATAAGAAAACCCATTTATTTCATCAGAAGAAAAGGCAAAATTAAGCATATTTTTACCCATATCCCATAAGTTTCGCCTCTCTATCAGCTAAATGCCTCCTGATGACAGGCTTACAAGTATACAATTACAATAAACGTATGCATAAAAGCACCATTGTAGCTATATAAAAGGCATAAAACATTTGCAGCAATGAGCAACAAGTGAGCTTACAAGAACGCATTTCTGGTGAAATTCAAGTACCCATAAACTCCAAAAGCAGATGCTCTCCATGTCTGTGAATACAATGCAATAAACTAAATAAATAAAAACCCAAAAGCAAAAAGAATACTATATATATATATATATAGAGAGAGAGAGAGAGAGAGAGAGAGAAGTAGAAAAAAGAAAAAAAGTGATCACCTTGAGAAGGAACATGATTAGTGCTGTAATGGATATGTGAATTTGAATGTGCAATGTTGCTTTTTTCATTCGTTTGTTCTTACAGTGTAGACTTGGCAAGGGATACGAGCTGTACTAACGTCTATAGGAGATGTAGAAAATAGGTTGTGTTTGACGTCTGGCGTTGGCCACGTAGCTAAACGTGTTGCCATTAGTTCTTACCTCCTTAAAGGTTGATATTTTCTTTCTATAATTATTAACATAAATCGTAAAAATGAAAGCGACTTGTAATATTTTATTTGTATGATTTTTTCATAGATATTTTAATTGTAAATTTTATTTTTTTATTAAAAAGTTAGTATATTTGAAACGCCAAGATATAATATTTTTATTGTTATAATGATTTTTTGTCAAGAACACTCTATTACTATATTTGATAAAAATTTACGAGATTGTCATTAATTTTTTGTAGGATATAATTTATCTAAAAATATTAAAATTAATTAAGAGTTATTAAAAAAAGTTTAAATTTGTGAAATTAAGATTAAGTGCAAAAGTATGATTACAACTAAAAAATGTATTAATATTTTTATATTGCACGTTCAAAGAACAATATCAATTAAATATGTATAATTGATTAATTTTGATGATGTGATCTTTTTATATTTAAATTTAATTTTTAAAAATTTATTTATGAATTTTTTTTTGTTGTGAAATTAGTATTATTACTATTTTCGTATTCCATAAATTTTTTAATACTTTGACGAAATTTATAGAAAATCTTTATTTAGAAAATATTTAGAATAAATTGATCATTTACAAAATTTTTGAAATCTCATCATAAGATATTTTATTTATTTATTAAAATAATTTTAAGAACATCTAACTCTTTAGTGAGATCTCAAAATTTATTAAACAAATTTTAAGATCATCTTAACTTTTTAACGAAATCTTAAATAAAATTATTTTTTATTGATAATAATTAAAGGATTTAATTAAATAATTTTTATTGTGATTATTTTTTTTGTTCTTTGTCGTTTTTTTTCTTGTTATTTAAATCTTTATTTAGTAAAAATAATTTTTTTTTCAAATTATTCCAATTTTTTTGGTGAAATTCAAAAAATATATTCTTTTATAATTAAGAGATTTATTTAAAGAAATATTTTAATTTTTATTTTATTATTATTTAAATAAAGATTTATTTAGTAAAAATTATTTTTTAGATTATTCTGATTCATCGACGAAATCTAAAAATATAAATCATTTACTTGCAGCAATTAAAGAATATTTAACTTTTTTAAATTTTTTAAAAAATTACATTTTTAGAATATTTATTCAAAAAATCCATTATAATTATTTATTTATTTATTTTTTATATTGTTTAAATAAACCTTTTTTCTACTTAAAATAATTTTAGATTATCTCAATTTTATGGTGAAATTTGAAAAGTTATTTTTACTTACAATAATGAAAGAAAACTAAATTTTTTTAGTTTTCTTTAAAAATTACATTTTAAAGAACAATTCATTATTCTATTTTATTTTTAATTTTATTATGTTTAATTATTTTTTAAATTATCCCGACACTTTGGTGAAATTTAAATAATATTTTGCTTGCAATAAAATTTTAATTTTTATTAAATGGTTATTTTTTTATGATTTTTTAAAAAGATTTATGCATATTATTTTTTTATTTTACCAAGTCTACATTTTATTTTAATTTATTTATTTTACTTATTTCCAAAAGAATAAATATTAATAATAATACAATAATATCATAAAAATAAATATAAAATAAAAATCAACACAAAATAAATCAAAATCAAAATCAAAATAAAAAATAAAAAAAATAAAAAAAAACCTGCCAATCAGGTCAAGTCGCCTAGCTAGTCGAGCGTGGATCCAAGGCCTTAAAACAATGCCATTTTGGAGGCTTATAAATAGGCATTTTCTTTTTTTTTTTTCTTTTCTTCCCTCTCTCTTTAAAAAATGAGAGCTTTTTTCTCTAAAATTTCAGCCTTTCGCCAGTTGCAGTGCATCGGTGGTCGAAAACTTCAATCGGCACCAAAAAGTTAAAAAAAAAATCTGAAATCCAACCAATTTCCCAGTTTGCGATTACTGAAAAATGCAATAGTTGTTGAAAAATTAAAAGTTTTCTAGTTTCCGGTGAGCCCAAAAAATTTTCAAAAATAAAAAATTACTACCTTCCAAATACTTTTCCTAAACCAGTTTTACAAAAAAAAAAAAAATCTAGAACACCCAAATCGAGAAAAAATTTTTTTTTTTTTTGTTTTTGGAAAATTTTTTTATTGCTGTTCCTCATTGATAAAAGGACTGTGTTGTTTTTTTTTTTTTTGCTCGTGTGTAAAAGGCTTAAAAAAATTATTCTTTACTTTTTTTCTGATAATTTTCCTTTCTTTTTTTAGTTCCCCCTCTTCGATTCACTGTGTGTTCTAGCTTGATTTTATATAGCATTTATTAGTATTCAAATGCCAGATAATCTAGGATTCAGGAAGACTTTCATGGCTCCTTAATTCATGCTGCAAAATTAGATTGTGGTAGAAAAGAAAAAAAACCACTATAACAGCTTGATTTTAGCTGCCAGAGTTGAAACTATTTTTTTTTTTACTTTTTTTACTAATTTATTTTATTATTATATATATATTTTGTGGACACAATATGTATCTACAGCTGCCTCATTTTTTTAATTACTAAGAATCAGAAGTAGGGCAAAGATAAAAAGATGACTATTTTATCTAGATGATGTTATAAATATAAACACCTTTTTCTCTTTTTTTTTCTTTTTTTTTTGAAAATTTGGATGGCTCATTTAAGTAGAAGCTTGATAACTTTTGAAATTTTAAAAGAACCTCTAAACAAAGGCTCAATAACTCTTGAAAATTTAAAAAGGCTTCTCTAGCCAGAGGTAATGAAACTTTTAATTCAAAAGGCTCCTTTGACTAAAGGCTATGAAATTTTAAATGGCTCCTCTGACCAGAGGCTATAAAACTTTAAATTTAAAAGGCTCACTTTAAATTCAAAAGGCTCCTCTGACCAGAGGCTATGAAACTTTAAATGGCTTCTCTAACCAGATGCTATTAAAACCTTAAATTCAAAAGGCTTTTCTGATTAGAGGTTATGAAACTTTAAAAGAAAGTTCCCCTGACCAGAGGTAATGAAATTTTAAATAGCTCTTCTGACCAGAAGCAATGAAAATTCAATTAAAAATCTGAGAGGACTTATAGATTATGTCATTTGGTTTTACAAATCATGCCTAATTTTGATAGAGTCCTCTAACCATGGGCTCTTAAAATTAAAAAGCTCTTTTAACCTATAGGCTATGAAACTTTAAAGAATGCTCCTTCAACTAAAAGCAATGACACTTTACATGGCTCTTCTAACCAAAGTTAATGGAACTTTAAACTAAAAATCTAAGAGATACTGATATTTGAAAGATTCTTCCAAATAGAGGGTTTACATTTGTTCAACTTTTTACTTTCTTTTTGTTAGTCTTGGATTATCCTAGACCCATAAATCTGTTGTGTCACATACATGCATGAATGACATTTTCATGTTTTTGTAATGTCATGCAATAAATGATGATCATGATACAAATGCATTTATGATGCAAATGAAGAGACTATTTTTTTTTATTTTTTTGTCATTTTTTTTTAATTCTCGAAATTTATCAATGCTTGTTTCCTTTTTTTTTTTTTTTCTTAAATCCCACACATTCTAGTAGCTAATTAAGCTCAAATAAAAAGATTTCTCTTCATATTTCCCATATTCAATGTTTACCATTTTTATGATTTATAAGCTTCTTTTCTAATCGACCTTTATTCCTTACTATTTTCTTATCATTTTAAATCTCTTTCAAAATAATGTGTGTCTTTCATGATCATTGTTGTTCACTCATAATCTTTTGAATTTCATGATAATTATAACACATTGCACATTTCTCTTTTTAATGAAAGAAACAAAAAAAATATTAACAAATGTGTATTTTATTTGAATAAAAGAGAGATTTATTTCATGTATTATCCAAAAAGATATAACAAAGAAAATAGTAATCACATAATGAATATTTAGATCATTATGAACTAATTAATCATTTTTGAAAACCCTTAATTAATGCCCCTTGACTTTTCAAAAACGCGGCAAACCAAGTTAGCTTAAAACCAATGAGATCTTTTAGCACATATTGAGAATTGCCCTACTCCATTCAATATTTCTTTATATAAGTTATCCTTTCAGATTTTCAACTTAGATATCTTTTTAGTTCAATTTATATTTTTACTTTTTTTTTAAGCATAGTATTTTTTTATCGCATTGGTATTGATTGGATTTGACAGATTATCACCATCCATTCTTGCCAAGATCAATGCCCTACCAGAGAAAGCTTTCTTCACCACATATGGGCATTCCCAATTAGAAATCCATTTTCTCTGAAGATTCTATTGGTTAGAAAGAATCTTCTTTAATATTAATTCTCTTTCTCAAAATTATCGGTGGTGAACTTTCTTGTCATGAGCTCATATAATTCTTTTTTGATATAGTTGACCATGGCAAAGTGCAATTAGTCTATTTTCTTCAATGAGATTCAACTATTCATATTGAGCATGAATCTATTCTATTTTTTTTAACTCAACTTTCATGAGAATGCCCAAAAAAGGAATTTTAACTTTAATGGGCAACACTGCTTTTATCCTATACACTAATGAAAATGATGTAGCTCTAGTAGATGTGCAAATCAAAGTTTGATAAGCATGTAATGCAAATGCTAGCTTTTCATGCCAATCTTTATATATATCTGTCATTTTTTAAAATAATTCTCTTTATGTTTTTATTGGTTGCTTTAATTGCCCTATTCATCTTCGGATGATAAATAGCTAATTTATGGTGTTTAATTTTGAACTAAGTATAGACCTCACTCATCATTTTGTTATTCAAAATAAGATCATTATCTGAAGTGATTTTTTTATAAGTCTATATCGGTATATGATCTCTTTTTTTATGAACCTGTAAACCACCATTCTTGTCACACTAGTATATAAAGCTATCTCTACCCACTTTGTGAAATAATCGATCACCACTAAAATAAATCGATATCCATTTGAAGCTTTTGGTGTAATGGTCCCTATGACATCTATTCCTCATA